TTTGTTGTGGTAGGAAACTTTTTACTTCCTTAGCTCTTATCACTGAAGGAAGGAAAGGGCTTGATAAAGACTTGGGTCTGCTGTGTAGTGTGACTGAACATCTATAATTTTTAATCTCCTGTCCGACAGCCCAATCTACTATAGAACATTGAAAACACTTTCAAATTAAATTGTCTAAAACAATTGAGATAGAATTTTTGAAAAAACGAAGGGAGAAATAATTAGATGTTGGGAATTCAAATGTAGTTCTAGTTTTCAAATGGAGGATGGCCGTGACACTGAGAACTACTGGTAGTAATCGTGAGATGCCCATAAGCAATATTTTTGAAGACAGGGATACCTTCATCACTGGGAACCTTCTTGAATTCAAGCTAACAAGCCTGACTTGCTCTTTGGCAGGCTCTCTTACTAGGTTACCACATCCATGAAATTCAAAAGACATAGCAGCTGACCTTGAGAATGACACCTTGCAAAATCATATTTCTCAATATCTCATAGAGGGAGAAAGATGGCTAGAATTTAGGCTCTAGAATATATAAGTAGATCAATATTTAGTTGAGCAACTGTACCAATAAGTGATTTGTGTCGAACTGAAACTGTATTTCTCATGTTATTTGACATGACCCCACTCTTTTATTTTGCAGTAATTTTTATCAGATGTGTATATTGAGGTGATGATTACCCAAAATTTTCATTGGAGGAAGAGAGGGTGCATAGCTAATATACCCACGGCTAGAAGAAGAATGTAAAATCGTCTTAACGGACTTGGTGAGGCAGCGATACGAAGGACTGTTCTCTGGTTTTTCAGGCTTCAAAACACAAATGGAAAGTGCACATGCCTTGAGGGTTTAACTTAATTCCATCAAGTGATCATAAGAATTAACAGGACATACAGTCTGAATCAAAACAGGTCATTTCCCCTCCCTTTTCCTTAGCAGCAATGTGCTGTTGTTAGTGGCTCCTGCTTGTTTGACGCACAGCAGGAAACCCCATCCCTCTGATCTTGCCTCCTCCCCTGGAGACTGTTGTTCCAGCTGTTGTGCCAGTTCATCTCGGGGAGCGTCTTCCTCTTGTTTCGCTGGCCCTCTCCTTCACAAGCATGATGTTGCTCCAGGTACTAATCCCTCCGGACGGCAGGTACAGGACACAGAACCTCACCATGCTCAATTCCAAGAAGCATTCTCGTTGGACTTCTTTTTTTAACATTTTATTAGGGGCTCATACAACTGTTATCGCAATCCATACACACATCAATTGTGTAAAGCACATTTGTACATCATTCTCAAAACATCTTTTCTCCACTTAAACCCCCGACATTAGGTCCTCATTTTTCCCCTCCCTCCCCACTCCCCCCTCCCTCATGTGCCCTTGATAGTTTATAAATTGGTATTTTGTCATATCTTGCCCTGTCCGACGTCTCCCTTCATCCACTTTTTGGTTGTCTGTCCCCCAGGGAGGAGGTCACATATAGTTCCTTGTAATCGGTTCCCTCTTTCCTACCCATTCTCCCTTTACCCTCTCTGTTTCGCCACTCACACCACTGGCCCTGTGAATGATGGGGGGAGTGCGGAGTGGAGATCCAAAGCCCATTAGTAGGCCACTGGAGATCCCCTTGCAGAGGGGTCTCAGGGAGGAGATGAGCCAGTCAGGATGCGATGTAACAACGCTGAGAAATACAACTTTCCTCTAGTTCCCAAATGTTTCCTCCCCGCTCCCACTACCATGACTCGAATTCTACCTTGCAAGTCTGGCTAGACCAGAGGATGTACACTGGTACAGATAGGAACTGAAAATCCAGGGAATCCAGGGCGGATGAGCCCTACAGAACCAGTGGTGTGAGTGGACTTCTTCTGAGTACAGATTCATTCATTTTATTCTGTCAGTCCAAAGTGTATTTAATATTCTTTGCAAACACCATAATTCAAACACCAAATTTCTTCAGTTTCCTTTATTCATTGTCCAACTTTCAAATGCATACGAGGCAATTGAAAATACTATGGCTTGAGTCAGACCCACATTAGTTTTCAAAGTGACATCTTTGCTTTTCAACATTTTGAAGAGGTATTTTGCGGTAGATTTTCCCAGTGCACTACATCATTTTATTTCTCAACTGCAGCATCCATGAGCGTTGGTTGTGCATCCAAATTACATGAAATTCTTGATAACTTCAGCATATTTTCTGTTTATCTTTTGTTACTTATTGCTCCAGTTGTGAGGAACGTGATTTAATGAGCTATAAAAACTTTGCCAATATTTGTATCAGGGATAATGTTTCAAAGCTCACTCACTGCCGTCAAGTCAGTGCTGACTCCTAGTGATGCCCAGGGAGTTTCCTAGACTCTGACTGTTGACGGGAGCAGAAAGCCCAGTCTTGGGCCCACAGAGCTGCTGGGGTTTTCAAACTGCCGGCCATGCCGTCGCAGCCCAACATGTAACCACTACACCCCCAGGGCTCCGCATACCTCAAAAATAAATTCTGCTCATATAGTGTGCTTTCAATCAAATTTGCATATTATACATGATGAAACACAATTAACTCACTGAAGCGTCTTACTTGATGATGTGTTTGTCCAACTTCGACCCATAAGCCCCACCCCCTATGTCATTTTCATAAGCTTTCTTTTAGAGGACAAAATTGGAAGCTTTCAGACAACTGACTTAGTAATTCTGCTTACAACGGTCCTGAAAGAGCATGTGGGACAAATGAATACTTACCTCCTCGTTTTGTTTTCCTTTTGGAAATGTTTCCTCCTGCTGAAACCCTGAGTCCCTGAGGCTGAGGTCCTTTCCTGCCTTCCTTTCTGTGGGCCCCACGTGTGACACACAGTAGTCATGTAATGAACATGTTCTTGAGGGAAAATGTCTCCAATGATTTTGACAAAGCTCATTTCCTGTATCATAAATCTGCGTATCTGATAGATTCCTGTTCTGACTGGCTTTTGAAATGATGTAAAAGTCAAGCTGCTAATGGCTAGGCCTAATGAACATGAAAAGGTGCTCAGTAAAGCTGCAAGTATACATCTGTCATAAATTAACCTTGCTAGATGGTCTCACGAGAGAATGTAGGACAGATCCTTTTTGTAGCCAAATTATAAAAAATCATAAAAATATTGGCCATTATTAGTTTGTATGTCACTTTGTTAATGAAGAGATTTGTATATTATCATGAAAGCCATTATGAGACAGGGTCGTCGTTTGCATGCGAGCCCTAGCCCAGGAATCATATGATCAAAATTCAAGTCTACTCCCTGCTAGTTGTCTGTCCTGAGTATGGTACACTAGTTACTGTATGTCTCACTTTCTCTGTCTGTAAAATGGGGGTGATGTTAGGTGCCTGGAGTTGTGCCAGTTCTGACTTATAGCAATACTATGTACAAGAATGAAACAGCACCAGGTCCCGTGCCACCTTCACAATGGTTGTTATGTTTTAGCCCATTGTTGCATCCACGGTGTCAATCCTTCTTGTGGAGGATCTTCCTTTACCTGCCCCTATACTTGTCCAAGCAAAATGTCCTTTTCCAGGGACCAACCTCTCCTGATAACATCCACAGGCTGTGAGACCATGTCTCACCATCCTAACTTCTAAAAGCGTTTGGGCTGTTCTTCTTCCAAGACATATTTATTTGTCCCCTTAGAAGCCTGTGGTACTTTCAGTATTCAGCAGCGCCATAATTCATCGTGTCATTATTTTTCTGAAATGGACATGATAGTAGTGTTATAATTATGCTATAATTTCTTCATAGGGTTGGTGTGAGAAGTAAAAGGCATAGTCCATGCACAAATGCATAGGATTTGGCACGTTGCAAATAATAAAAGCAAACTATTAAGGATTTAGATAGGCATTGTTTCAGCAAAGTAAACACACATTATTTTATTTTTTGTAATCATTTTATTGGGGGCTTGTACAGCTCTTATCACAATCCATACATACATACATACATACATTGTGTCAA